CCTGATTTTTCCAGAGTTCAGAAACTCTATTGAGTATTCTTATTTTCATGACAATAAAATTATTTGTGTAAGTTCAGTAAGAATCTGTCTTCCTTGTAATAGGACGTAATTGGAAAAATTGATTATATAGGCTTTGACTAGAATGTCATATTTGAGAATGATGCATAGAATAAGACAGTCAGATAGTTTTAGGGAACTAAGTTTGACTTTTTAGAGCCAATGCTTACAACCTCCTTTTGGAAAAACCAGCCTTCTCCAGGGTTCCCAACATTACAAATGAATAAAGAAGGTCACTTCCTGGCAAGCCCAGGAACTCTAGGCTATTTTGGCAACCTTGAGAAGAGAGGAATTCACTCAAATCTATAGGAATTACAGGCTAAATCTGGTGGTGAGTTCTAGGTTTGGTTTGTTAGGCTCAAGAGGCTTTTAAAAGTCTAATCTGAGATTCTCTACAAAAAGTTCCAGCAAACCAAACTTGAAAGTCCCAAGTGGTCAATTAACATTCTTGCTGTACTTATATAAATAATTAGGCCAAATCTAATGAGACCAGACTTATTTTGTAAACAAGATTAAAAAGGGGGGTGACTGTAGAGAGACAAATTTTATACTTCATTGGAAAACTGTTGTGCATCCTTGTTTGTGGGTTATTAAATTCTAGTCCTGTTCATTGTCTTGCACATTTTCCTCTGGTTTCCTCCTCCAATGTCTGGCTACAACTCTCCAAAATGTTTCCAGTTTTTCTCTCTACCACCTGATTTGGCATCATTGAGAACTAAAATTGCCCTTCTCCTGAAGCCCTGTAAGCTGAAGCTGTATGATTTGGTACAAACTTCAAAGAAATCACCTCAGTGGATCACGTATGGTCACCCTTCATGTCTGCTGCTATGTGGGCCATTCAGAAAGCTCAGTGGAACAGCTGATGCCATCACCAAGGACATTCAAACTGCAAAAGATGCTTTGAGCCCATCTTCTAGAAATCTTCTCAACTGTCTGCCCTATAGACTCAAAAACTAGTTTTCTCATCTGCTTCAACCACTAATCTTTTTCTTTTTATAGAAGTTCCCCTCATTAAATGTTTGACTGCTCATACTACCTAGCAAATATCTTTCACTACCAAGTCTCAACTAATGTTTCAGCTGGTCCTTAATGAACAAAAGGCAACCTAGTGAGAAACGGACTTACATTGTCAAAGAAAGAAGAACATGTCTTCTTTCCTTGAATAAGAGGAAGGACTGACAAAGTCTTTCTCCCTAACCAAATTTTAGTCAGGTTCCACTAAGCTTTATTCCTGATTAGGACAGATCTTTGCTAGATCTACATAGTCCAGTTTTAGTAAGATTTCTACTAAATCAGTTTAGAGAGAATTCCCACCCTCAGTACTGATCAAATTCCACATCCCCTCCTATACCCAGGTGATATCTGATCACCCTAGCCTGCCTTTAGCAAGAATCCTAAGTCTGTTCAATCAATCTCCCCCTGCCTCCAATTTTTCTTCTTAGTAATTTTCCTTCCATTGATTCCCATTCTGCTCCTTGGTTATAAATCCCTACTTGTCTTTGCTATATTGGGAATTGAGCCTGATTCTATACTGAGATCTCTTTTCCCCAGTTGCAGTAGTTCCAGAATAAAATCTGTTTTTACCACTTTAACTACTATCTAGCTCTTTTGTTGTTGTTGTTGTCTGTTTGTTTTAAAATATAAATAGTATGCAGTCTAGAAGAACAATTACTATCATATGTACAACTGACAAATATTTCAACTTGCAGTTGAATAAAGCCAATTATGTGCAAAATGTGAATTAGTGCTTTGTGTATGTACTTTTAGGATGTCCATGAGAGAGCAATGCTTGACAATTTCCTATCTTATTTATTACTGAAAACCCAGGATATAGGAAAAGATACATTGGGAGTGCTGATCAAACACCCTTGTATGAAAAAGAAGGCAGTGCATTGCCATTCAAATAAAAGAAATAGCCTCTGGTGGTAATTTACATTGTTGTATTTACAGAGAGTAGGTAGTGGTCAAAGTATGCTGTTTGGTTTTGGTTTATTGCTGAAGGAAATACTGATAATTATTAATACTCTCAAATTATAGGTTTTAAGTACATTTATGCCTTTTTTTAAAAAAAGATTTTATTTATTCATTTGTGCCTTTTTGATATACCATCTGAGAAATTGGGCAGCAAGTGTAAGTCTGGCTATGAGGAAAAAGGAGGCTCACATGAATTTTTAAAATGAGAGAGATAAAAATATTTCTTCAATGATGCTGATTCTAATAAGACCATTTTGAGTAACTTATTTGAATGATGTGTCACAGCAGTATATTTATTCAATATGTTGAATTTGCTTGAACTTTTATTTTTTTATTTTTTATTTTTTTTATTTATTTGAGAGAGAGAGAATGAGAGAGAGCAAGCACAAGAGAGGGGGGAGGGTCAGAGGGAGAAGCGGACTCCCCGCCGAGCAGGGAGCCCGATGCGGGACTCGATCCCGGGACTCCAGGATCACGACCTGAGCCGAAGGCAGTCGCCCAACCAACTGAGCCACCCAGGCGCCCTTGCTTGAACTTTTAATTCAGGCTCAAAATACCCCATTTTTAAAATTTGCAGATGAGAGATTAGAATTTGTTTGTGTTATAAATGGCTTAAACTTTGAGTCTTTCCAATACCATTCTTTGATAATTTCTTTACATTTGGAGAAAGAAATGCATGATTTATTGTCACATATGTTAAAAAGTCACATTACTACAAATACAGTATTACATACGTAGTGCTTCATGAGGAAATGAAGAAGTACTTTTTAGAACTAAATGCAACTTAAGGAAGAATGTGAAATCTCTCTAACTTTATATCCCAAGTTGGAAAGTCAAACTTTATGTATTCATTTGTGATAAGCTTATCAATTTAATGCCTGATGGAGTTCTGAAACTCCTCACTGAGAAGTCTTTATAATTTCTAAATTTAAAAATAGTCCAGATATCCAGATTTTTTTGACAAAACCAACAAATATTTATTGTCATTTAACAATCTTTAGTTGGGAATCAGGACTTTCTAATTTGGTAAAAGTAGTAAGAATAGACAGTGGATATGGAACTCAAGGTCTTCTGGCTCAAAATCTTTGTCATTGGGCCAGGCATTGACAGCTTGGTTAGAGCATAAATAAAATCTGGTCTCTTTCACTGATGGGAATCATAATAATGATAATAGTAATAATACACGTAATGATACATTTTGCAAAATAATATCATTTGAAAATATTTCTTAACTACTGTGGTATTCTGAATATAGATGCTGAAATAGTTTGCCACCTTTGTAAAATCTTTGTTAAAAAAAATGGTAGTGTTTGTTGAGAGCTTACTATGGAGCAAACATTCTAAGGGCAATGAACTCATGTTAACTGTGAAGGAGCCAGTAGCTTACAGACTGAGGCATGGAGAAAATAAATAGCTTTTCAAATGTCACCCAGTTGTTAACTGGCAGGCCAAGATTTGAACAGAGTCAGTCTGGTAGCAAAGTCTATGCTCTTTGCCATTACCTGACAAAGGCAGACAGTACGAGTACTGTAGGAGCCCTTGAGGTGGTTTTCTATTTTGAGGTCTCTGAACATCTTTCTCTACTCTTTTAGCACACAATTTTCCCACATTATTCTCCTCTTCCTTATTATTATTACTGCTACTACTGCCAGCACCAATGAGCATTTTGATTAGAATCCTTTAAGGAGACAGGTGATTACAAAGAAGGGAATGCTTTGGAGGCAGAAAGAAGAAAGATCACTTTCATGACCACAAATCATATCCATGGTCTTGGCCAATTTTTTTCTGTAGCTGTTGGGGCCCAAAGACAATTTCGGTGACTTGTGACCTATCACCTCCCATCTCCCATCTCCCAGATACTTCAAAGTTACATGCTCATTTAAGAGTGTCATAGTGAATTAATAGCATTATCTTCCCCTTGAAAGATTTGCACAGATCATAAATACTTTTAAAAGTTTAAGTTTATAAATCAGCTTTCCTAGAGGTATATTAAAAAGCTTTTTATGTATAGTAATATATTTTAAAACATTGATTTGTACAGCTTTGTTTAATGTCTTAACATTACTACTTGTTAAAAATGAATGAAACTCAAATTATAGTATTGCCATGGAACATTGGAAAATGAGTTGTAGAATGTAATGTTTTGGCTTGTTTTCGATATATAAGCTTGCTGGTTGTTGTGTGCAGGGCAGAGCTTTTTCTCTTTTAAATCTAGCAGTGCTCTCTAGAGTGAAAGGTTAATACAATTTGATAAGAAAAGCAGTTTCATCCATTAAAATACTTTTTTTTTTTTAAAGATTTTTATTTATTTGACAGAGAGAGAAAGAGAGAGAGAGCACAGAAGGGGAAGCGGCAGGCAGAGAGAGAGGGAGAAGCAGACTCCCCACTGAGCGGGGAGCCCGATGTGGTGCTTGATTCCAGGACCCTGGGGTCATGACCTGAGCCGAAGGCAGGCACTTAATGGACTGAGCCACCCGGGTGCCCCACCCATTCAAATATTCTTGATCCATCCTATTTTGAGGGACATTTGTTACTTAGAAGTAGCAAAGAGCTGAACCTACATGTTTTTGCTCTGAGTGAATATGATTTTCAAGGTAACTAGAACAAAATAGAAATAAGCTTGTGCACTGTGAAAATTTATTTTGTCTTGGTGGTTGTACATCTTTTTCATACCTTCTTATGAAACTAGTGGTACATAATTTTACTTTAAATTTAATATTTTCATAATAATAATAATAAACATCGAATTTTTTGTTGACCAATATAACGTGTCTAAATTTATAAGTGATACTGCATTTGTATTGAGGAATACATAATAAATAGAGAATAAACCACAGCCCTCGTACTTACATTTATTTCTACTTGTCTAGTATATCAGATTGTGACCCATATTGGCTCTTGTATCAAAATTGTCTTTATTAAAGAAATTAAAACTATTACTATTGATATATATTCCTTTCTTATTACAGAAGAAAATACTCAGGAAACATCACAGGTGAAGAAAAGTTTGAGTGAAAAAGTTTCTCTCTATAGAGGTGACATCACATTGCTAGAGGTAGATGCTATAGTTAATGCGGGTGAGTACTTGATTTTTTTTTTTGTGATGTATTTGTTATATGAGTATTATTTTAAAATATTTTTCATAAACAGGAATATAAGTATTTTAGAAAAAGATGTCCTTCCTAGTATAGACATACCTTCGTACTTCCCTTCTGGATTAAAAACACTGAGGATTTATTTATTTATTTATTTATTTATTTTAAAACACTGAGGATTTATTTTATGTGTGTGTTACAGTTAATTTGCTAACTCATGGTATCCATGCTAAATTGAGATTAGGGTACTGGCCCACTCAAAAAGTGATAAATTGATGCAGAAGGTTCTTCAGAAAGAACTTTAGAAGCTCTATTACTGTTGGTTTCATGCTTGAGTTAATAATTGGCCAACATAAAAACAAATTCATCAAGGTTTTTCTTTCTTTTGAAGAGGTGGTAAAGAGATGATTTGAACACCAGAAAAAAGTAAAATAGAAGGTAATTATTTCTGCGATTTCCAAATCATAGTTGTTTGGTTACTACTTTTCATTTTTGATATGAAATGCTTTAATTATTTTAATAACCAATTAAGTAATTTTTATGTTTGAACATCGGGGAAATTAGCAGTGTTATTTATGGTAGTATCTCCTATATATTTTATTATGTGGCTGTATATCAAGAAATACATAGTAGTTGTGATTCTATATAAATAAATGTCAATAATAAGAGGATATTTAATGATTTTAATTTGTGTTTTATAAAGGTAAGCTTTTTTTCAGGTTGAAAATGCCAAATAATAACATGGACTTTTTATTCAAAAAGATTATTACAGTAAAGAGAAGAGTATTGTCCTAATAGGTGGAGGAAGAATATTGCAATAGAGAGAATAATGCAATAGGGAAAACCACTTCTACCATGAGATCTATAAGCATCTCAAAGGCCAAGCAGAAAGGGTCTTTTCTTTCATAGGAAGGAGTAAACAGGGTAAAAAGAATTGGGTGTGGGGTACTGGGATGAGTTGGTGGCAAGATTGGAGAGTTGATCAGGGAATATTCTTGCCTGAGGCCATCTGATTCTTGGAGGGGCTCATTCTAGAGGAGTTGTTCACCTTCCATTGCTCAGGGGTGGGTCAAAGTCTAGGGACTTGGAAGAGGGAAAAAAGCCTGAGTAAAGTTTGGTCAACTCCAGTTAATAGCCATTGACCAGCCAGAATGGTCAATGGAGACAAACATTTCAGCTAATCATTTATGAGTGAAAGAATGGGAATTTGGAGGATCTGTGTCTTGGTCTTGTCATAGGTTATAAGAGGTTATCCATGAATTTTATCTAAGTCATATGGGGAAGAGTAGTTCTTTGCGGTAAGCTGTTTCCTGGAACACAAAAGTGTGAGGGGTAATTTTTTGGCAGTCCCTGTTTTCCAGAAGTATAGGATTCATGTAAAGTTCATCATTGTCTCAAGGTTCCCTTTGGTGATGAAAAAATTCACACAGGACAGTAGAAACATGCCTTTGTGGGTGAACAGAAGGGTCTCCTGGAGAACTGGAACATTAATATAGCATAGTTTTGGTGATCCTGCAGGAAATCTGGAAGCCTGGTCAGCTTGTTAATTTCTGTAGAATTGGCTATCGATTGCTTTGTACTGTATTTGCTTTGCCATACTCAGAGCTGTTTTTTCTGTTTCTCTTCTTCTGATGCCTCTGTAATTCCTTTCTCCTCTGTTGGCTCTCTAAAATGCAAAACTCTTCATGAGAGGGCATCTGTCTTGGTCATTTAATCTCCACCCAATCTAAATCACTTCTTTTGGACAGAATTCCATCCTCATATCACCTCATAAGCTATAAGTCTCTCTCCCTTATAGCTAGTCTCTGTGGACTGTTCATTTGTGGCCCTGGGTATCAAGATGCTTTTCTCTGATCTGTGGGACCTCTGGAGAAGACATGCCCTTAGAAAGAATCTCATGAACTCTTCTCCAGTACAGTGGTTGAATAAGATCACTGTAGTTATTAAGTCATTAATGGTTTGTTATGCCCTATATTCTATAAACATGTGAGCTTTAATTAAAAAAAATTAAAAGCTTTTATGTATATATAACACTAGCCTTCCTGTATATTCTTGTAATTTCTAGCTGTTGATCCTAGTTCTGCTCCGTGGAATATAATTAATGACATGTATTTCCTTCTTAAATATCTGAAGATCACTCTCTTGAGGTTTCTCTTTCTTGTTATTAATGTAACATTGAATTTGCCAGGTTAGCACACTTAATAATAGCAGTAATTATGGTTTTTCTTGGGTTTTGCTAACTGTATACCTGTGTATCTCCCCCTTAAGGCTACAGACTGTTGTCTTTTCCATCTTTTGTGTCCAAAGCAATGTCATGCCATTATGTTCTTAATAAACGCTTGATACTGTATATGTGTTAGATTGAACTATATGCAACTGAACCATATGCTCCAAAGCACCTGTGACCAATAGCACATTCAGCATTGAGGACTTGATACAGTCAATCAATGTGGCTCTGATTTTAAAAATGATTTATTTGATCAATAAATAAAATAGTTATGGGACTAAACAGGAAAACATCACTAATGGGAAAACATCCCATCACTATTTTGATTCTTGTCCTTGCCTGTACACGTAATAGCTGCCCCATAGTGTACAAGGGTTTGATGAATTAATATGAAGGCCGGCAGCAACTTTCACTCACTCCCAAAAACCATTTGGCACCTTTAGTCACATCTCTGGCTGAGATTATATAGTAATTTGGACATGTTCTACATCTCACAAGGACAACCTCATCAGGAAGTTCCTGTGTATATGGAAGAAAGATGCCAAATGTACAGTGTAATGACTCTACTTACAGCTTTCTGCTGTGCAGTTTGTTTGCCTGGTGTGTAAGGAGAGGAACAGTTGTTAATCTTTCAAGTGAACAAGGCGACGTGGCAGGAGACTCCAGAGCTGCCTCTAGTGAGAGGGGAATGGGAGGCAGTGTCCCCAGTCATGGTGCCAGAGCAGCCCAGACATCATTTTCTATCAAACTTCTAAAGTTCTCTTTCCATGCCCATGTTAATATTAGTACATTGGAACACCTGGGCTTACTTGCCATAAACGAAGTGAATTGATATCTAAAAATTTTCCTAATAAAGTACTTTTTGGACTTGCTTGGATTTCTTTAAATGTGACCCAAGATGAGCTTCCTATGTAATTTTTATTCTTCTCTGTAGGAAATAATACATATTTGGTATATTTTAATAAAATGGATTTTTAGGCAGTAGGGTATATAGGGCAGTAGCACAAGTTTTAGAGTCAGGCAGACCCAAATTCAAATTCAGGTTCTCACACCCAGGACCATTTTTTGTTTAAACTTTTTATGTTGAAATAATAGGAAATTGCAAAGATAGTACAAAGAGTCCTATGTACCTTTCACCTTCTCCTGTGTAAGCCTCCCCCCGTGGTGACATTATTTAGCTGTAGTACAATATCAAAACCAGGAAATTGACATGGGTATATTATTATGAATTAGACTGTAGACCTTATTCAGTTTTCACCATTTTTTAATCTGCATTTGTGTGTGTTTGTGTCTATAGTTCTCTGCAGTTTTATCTCATGTACAGATTCATGGTTATCACCATAATCAAGATACAGAACTGTTGGATTATCCTGAAAAGAACTCCCTTGTAGTGGCACCCGCCTCTTTGCTCTCCTCTCCTTGTACCCTCCCCATTCTTCATCTCTATAGTTTTGTCATTTTTAAGAATGTTATATCAGTGGAATCATACAGAATGTAACCTTTTGAGATTGATGTTTTTCACTAAACATAAAGCCCTTGAGGGCCATTCAGATTGTTGCATGTATCAGTAGTTCATTCCTTTTTATTGCTGAGTAATAGTCCCTTGCAAGGATATACCAAAGTTTGTCCAACCATCCACCCACTGAAGGACCTCTGGGTTCTCTTCAGTATTTTGCCATAACCAGTAGAGCTGCTATAAAAATTCATATACTGGTTTTTGTATGTAGCAGTATATAGGATGATCTCTTTACTGTGACTAGGTCCTTGTATAATTTTGTATTAAGGCTGTTCATCAAAGCGTTTTGGTTTTTTTCTAGAGCATGGGGGAGAATACATTCATCTAATTTATGGTTCAGTATTGTATCACTAGAGACAATTTTACTTGTACCATAATCACAGAAAAATATTTTGTTGGCGATATAATTGTTACTCATTTGTGGATTGTGGGCTGTATAATGAAAAAATTGGTTAACTCTCCAATTCTAATGGACTGTCTTTGGCTAAAGATTAATTCAGTTTGCCCTAAATAAGATTTTTTAAAGTGGAAAATGTGGAAGGTTGATTTGTTTATTTTAGTTCTTCCTGTCTCTACCCCAGCATGCGAAGGAGAGGTACATTTACATTGTGGTTAATCTTGGAGGGGTGGAGTCAGATCAATCATTATTTTAAATGTGTCTCTTCAACTTCCTGACCAAATGACCTTCAGTAAATTATTTAACCTTTTTGAGCCTTAATTTGTTCATTGGTAAAATGGAGATAATAATAGGGCCTCCTTCTCAGGGCTGTTGTGAAAATCAAAAGAGATAACGTATACAAAGCACTTCACATAGTAGTGCCTAGTGTATAGACACACTCAGTAAATGGTAGCAGAATTATACTGCTTAGTTATAAATCAGAAAACTGATTTTTTTTCTATGAATGTCACAAGGTAACTATGCATGTTTTTCAAGTCTTATGCACAGATAGATATTACCAACTAAATGAATTTGTCCTATGTGTTCACAACTTTAGCCATTATACTATTTACTTGAATTTCATCCAGGAAGAGTTGTCCAATTCTGAGGCTCTATGTTAAATGCCAAGTTTCTATAATGTTTTTGGTAATCTTTATGAACTAATGGCCCAAAAGAATTGTTTTAGTTTTCTTTAGTGATGTGTTTTTACTGTATTAATTGTGACTGTCATAATTGTGTCAAAAATTGAGATAGTAACATGATTGGATACCTAATAATTTAATAGCTGGGTATAATTTAAT